TGACTATAAGAGGCATGAGAGAACATTTTGGGGTGATGGAAATGTTCTATATCAATGCTTTGGTGGTGGTTATACAACTTCAAGCATTTGTCAAAATGCATAGAACTGTATGCTTAAAATTGGTGAATTTTATTCTATGTAAATTATACTATTAATAAAGCTGATGAAAATTTTTTAAAAATTAAGCTAATGAGATAATAGATGAGACTTTATTATGTAAAATGCAAAGTTCTATGAAAAGTTTTCTTTTTAAGTTCCTTTCAAAAGGCTTAAAAAAGTCTTAACAGGCTCTCACCTAGACTTCTGAAATAGATTCCAGACACTTCCCTGCCTCCAGTCTTTCACAATTGGAATCTATGCTTCACTAACCATCATCTGATCAGTTGCCTAAAAACAAGTTATTCTTCCTTTAAAAATATTTTAGAGAAATCTAATATCTACTTATGTTATTATAAATAAAGTTATTATTCCTTGACTGTGAATCTGGGGACTACTGAGATACGGTCTAATGCCAACCATAACTGAAGAGTGAAATAGCACTGGATTATGTGTAGACCCATGGCTTAATCTTAGCTCTGAAAACAGGTAACCTTGGAGAAGTAATTCAATAGCTCTTTGGAGTATAGATTCTTATAGGTAGCACCTGTGTAAACATGTATTCATCTAGTTATAGAGACATTTATTGAACATGGAACATAAAAAGATGAATAAATTAATCTATAATTCATAGCATAAGGTCCCTCAGTTTTGTGATTGTACTGTTCAAATTCCATTGCCCATTGCTGCCCTACAAAAGCCCTACTCCCCTAATCCACACTGTTTGATTCACCTAGTAAATCTATTTATGCCAACCTCAGCAGTCAATTATCTTCTCATCTTCAAAAGTTCACCTTAAATGCCATGATTCTATGAAACCTTCCCTAATCCTTGAATGAGTTGGTTTCCTTCCACTTTTGAACTACTGTAACATTTTGTTTTTCTTCTCTCTAATACACTTATGTCTAGTATGAACTTCCAGATACAAATTCTATTATCTTCACTGATGCTAGAGGTAGGCTGCTTCAGAGCAATGCCTGTGTTTTTCTCCTGGTCACTTCTGTAGGGGCCAGCACAGTGCCTGTTGAGACATATGTCCCCATAGGAAGCAAGTAAGCAGCTTTTAGAGGATTAGAGCTTAGTGTTTCCAACTATCTTGACATAAACTAAGGTAAGAAGGGTCAAGACCCATACAGATCACGTGCTGTCCTCTGACATGGTTCATCCAGCAACAATACTAGGACATTGCAGCAACGCAAGGGAGTTTGCACCAATCTTATAATAGAAACACTCACATGATAGCTAGTGATGAACTGTTATTAATACTTTATAACATTCATGACATATGCTAGCCACTTGAAATTCTCACCTACAAATACAGCAATTTTGAATGATTCAAGCTAATGTTTTGCTAATTCATGTATTATCTATCTTCTGGCCCCATGCCTACTCTGGAATGAGTCCCCACGAGGGCAGGCAGTTTGGTACCTTTTATTCACTGTGATATCTCCAGTGCCTGGAACATAGTGGCATGGGCAAATATTTGTTGAATCAATGAATGAACTTACTGAACACGAACTATTTGCCTTACACTCTACTACATTGTTTATACTTTATAGCACATTTGTTTCCTCATAACGTCCTGATTACTATCATTCTTTAGATGATAAAACTGAGGCTTAGTGAAGTCAAGTAACTTACCTAAGACCACACTCTTAACCAATATTTTATGCTAGGCCAGTTATATTCATGTTATAAAAGTTGCTCACATATGAGTTATCTTTCCTGAATTGACTAGACCATGCATAAATTCTACTGGAAATGGTAAGAAAGAAACTGCAGGTTACCAAAAAGAGAGGAAGGGGGAGGGGAAAAGGAGATAAAGAAAGACATGTCAGTGGGGCGAAACACAATATGAAATAATATCTAAAAACCACCCTCAGTCCTCCAGGTCTTCTGCCTGAGGGTGGGGCTCTTTAATTGTCCTGACACTTAGAGCCCCATCACTGGTGTTGCTTTCTTGGGATCAGGAGATGAATGATTGAAGGCTTTTACTTGCAGCCTACAAGCAAGCCTTGTCTTTGGGACTACTAGACTCTTCTAGTCAGCAAGGGTGTGTTCTCACCCTTTTTACCATTTCCACTGTGGATGAAATTGGGGACCCCTACTTAGCAAAACAAACAAACAAACAAAACCCCAACCAAACAAACCACAAAAAAAACGCTGTTGCTTTAAAAGACTGTTCCCTAACTTATCCGTGGAGATACAGTGCCAAAAAGAAAAAGTTCATAATATTTGTAAATGAAGGAGTATTGAGTTTGAAATTTGTTGATGTTACTTATTTTCTTTCAGTGCAAATATGCAGTTTATCTTTTGCAAAAGGAACATCTTATTCAAGAACAATGGTCATAACCTGTTGTTAGTCCCAGGATTCTTGATGCCGGGGTTCTCAGGTTTCATGTAGGGCTGGTCCAGGGTGGCCCACTATAATTTCCACTGTTGCTAAAATGTCTTTCCCTTTAGGCTGAAAGACTCAGTTCACTTTATAGGACGTGGAATCTACGCCAGTCCCAATATATATTTTCTAAAACTTGAAAGAAGATAAATGGAAGATTTCTCAAACCCCTTAAAGTAAAATGAACAACTCTGTGCTGTCATAAAATCAGGGTGACCCTAAGTGATTAATTCTTCAAGATTTGCAAGACATTTTGAAACACAAGAAAAACAGCCCATTTTTCTTTCTAGAACTTGTTGTCTAATCCTGTAAGTGGTAGGCTGCCCAACAGAAAGGTAGGGTATACGCAAAGGCATCTGAGTCAGACCAAATGGGACTAATCTCCGGGTCTACAACATACAGCGAGTGGCCTCTGGCAAGTTAAACGTTGATATCTACAACTCTGTTTTCTCATGTGTAAAAAAAGTTATTGTTGCCTACATTACAAGGATCAGGAAATGAATGTAGAACACAGCATAGTGCCTGGTACACAGTAAAAGTTCAATAAATATGAAATAAAATATCAAACATTAAGATACATAAGGAGGAAGAGTTTTCTAAAACTGCCTCTCTCCTCATATTCTAGCCTCTGGGTGAGTTTAAGTATCTTTTCCAATGAATCAATAGAATGAATTTAATATCTCTTTCTGTGTCTCTTGAACTAATTGAGCATAGCCTTTGCCTTAAAGAAACCCAAGATTTACAAGAGAGGTTGCATATTTAGTTCCAGACAGTACAATTCAAGTGGGAGAAGAAGCATTTACTCTTTGGAGTAAATGGGTTATTCACCATACACAATAACTTCTCCTGTCTCAGAGATCAAGATTCCTAGAGAAGCAAATACAACAGTTGATCCTTTCCAAGGTGGCACAAAATATAAATAATATACCCCTAAAAACAACACTGCATAAAAACCATAAAAGTCTCACCAGTTTGGAGCTTTCACTTTCAGGCAACTGTTTAATACCACTTTCGAGACTGCTGTCTTCCTCACTACTAACAGGTTCAGTGCTGCTCTGATCCTAGAAGACATTAAAAAGAAAATGGCAAAGCTGTCATTCTTCACTCATAGTTCCTTGTTTTATTGTTGTAGTAGATATTGTTTCCTCTCCAGAAGCCATTCCTATTTTCTTCAAGTAGAAGGTCCCTCCCCACCCCCAGAGCAACTATCCCTGTTGCTCACAGATATACATTAGAGAAAGCTGATTCCTACTTTCTGTTCCAAGAGGGCTGATTGCCTTAAGGTTAGTCCCATTCTTTTTGCCAATGATTTTGTCAGGAATGGGCATGTGATCCAGTTCTGGTCAATGAGACACAAAGAGAGGTTTGCTGGAGACTTCTGGAAGAGTCCTTCCTTTATCTTAAAAGAACCACAAGTAGTCTCCATACATATTTTGTCACAAAATAACGAGCAAGAATGAAGTTCAAAATGTCATGGACAGTCATCCCACAGCCAAAAGGAAACTGGATAAACCTGACATAGTGAATGACAGAGCAAAAACAGAGATGGAAAGAACTGGTTCTCTGATGGTAAAACTGGGCCATTGGATCAAGCAAACCTGAAGCCCAGCCTTATCCCTAGCAGTCTCCTAATGAGAGGTAATAAACTGACTTATTGTTTTACCCAGTTAGGGTTTGCCGTGTGTTCCCTCTAGCTAAAACTTTCTGAGATATTTATCTTCTGCACAAGACTAAACTGTTTAAAATAAGAAATCACATTTATCTTATTTATTTCTGATACTCAAGCCCCTAAGAATCCTGCCTGGTACATGGAAAACATCTCACAAACATTTGATTGAACCAATGAATAAACTGAGTATTTGTTTTCTTGATGACTTTGTCTGCAAAATCCTAAAAATATTTATTTAGTATAAATGAGACACCTGGTAATAATAGGCCCAATTAAGATTCCAAAACACATTAGGCAACTCCTCAATTGAATTATGACACTAAATATCATAGTTAATTAACCAGAAGTTTCTTTACTTTCTAAGGGCACATAAGGGAGAATAAGGATAATAAGTGGAATATCTACTTATATTTATCTACATTATTATTTTAAAACATTACCAGCCTGGATTACAAATTTTGATGGGATTGTTTATAGAAAAAATAGTTTTGATTTAGGGACATTCAACCTCATTTATAACTTAAGCAATGTAAATTAAAGCAGATATGGCACTCTTTCGTCTATCAAATGGACAAGAGA